CCCCAGCCTCCCCACCATCTGTCGCGACCCAACTCGAGGGTCGGACACATACGCCGCCCCAGTTCAAACCTCGCTCCGCCCCAGCCCTACCCTTCGCAACCACCGGCGCCTCCCAACAACTATGCCTATATGCCAAATCCGCCTTTCTACAACCCCCAGCCAGCTCCGCAGATGGCCCCGAAGCCCCAGCCCACTCCACCAGCCTCACAGTATCAATTCTCGCATCCAATGCCTGCGCACCCCCAGGTTCAGTATATGCAACAGGAGCAACAACGCCGGCAATCTATGCCGCCCACCTTCCAGCAGCAACAGCAGCAGCAGCAAGATCAACAGGCACAAGCGCAGGCACAGGCACAAGCACAGGCGCAGGCACAAGCGCAGGCTCAGGCTCAGGCACAGGCACAGGCACAACAACAACAGCAGCAGCAACAGCAACAGCAACAGCAACAACAACAGCCCCCGCCGCCTCCACCGCCTCAGCCCCCGCAGCCACAGCAGGAACGTCCAGAACAACCCACCATCATCGTCCCATCTCCACCTCAACAAAACAACTTTCAGAGCCCCCCTCTTCCCCAGCCAAAACCCCTGCATGCATCTGCCAGACACAGCATTTTCACTCCAATCGACGACAGCCAGTCTATGCTAGCAGCGCATTGGGGTAGTAGCAGCAACAACAATGCCAACGCACAACGCAACGAAGCCCCATTTATCAAACAGGAAAACCGAGCCCAGTCTATTGACGTTGCTACCATACACCGACCGCAGCCGGATGGAGAGCCAAAACCTCAGCCGCAGCCCCCGCAAGCCCAGCCACCACCGCAGCGAACACAGTCTACATCTTCAGTGCCCATTATTCCCCCACCATCTCGCACAAACAGTCTACGTATGGGTGAGAGCAAGCCAAGATTAAGGGTCCAAATTCCAAGTGAACACTCGGATGCTGGCAGCGCAACTGCCGACTCATCGCCCAAGGATTCTGGCACAACTGGCGCAACACCAGGACGAAGCACCGACGCATCGCATTCTTCAGGTGTTGTCCTTCCTCCGCCTTCGCCGAGCGCCAATTCGTTGCTCAGTGCTGGTGCAACAGGCCCGCCAAACCCATTCGCTCGTCCCCCACCACCGTCAAATAGCAACTCATACGGGAGAAGCAATGACATGGAAACCCCAATCTCGGCACTCCCCAGCCGATTTGTGGAGAATGGCCTTCTTCCTTCTCCATCAAGCTTTTACCCTGAATGGGGTTTTGGCCGCGATTCCAACATGCTGCCGAGTCCCTTGACCTTTCAGACTCCAGTAGCTCCAAACGGCCCTAGCTTTGCGCGGGATGACTCTGCAGAGCGCAAGCGAAAGACATCGGATCAGGGGTCGGATGACGGCAACCAGAAGCGGGTCAAGACGTGATGGGAGCAACGAGTGCGGAACCCTTTTTTTCTTATGCACGGCCACTTGGCTCCGGTCGTCTGTAATTGTACAAGCGTATCTTGTTCGACCCGGCTGTTTCTCTTTTTTTTGCTTTTTGATCTTGGGCAAGCTAGCCATGCTCGATGCATGCACCCCACGTATTACTGGTATCCTGTTTGTTGTTGAATTTTGGGTGCAGGGGCGTTGGATACCCACGGCAGCTGTTGTTGTTATTGTTGTCTGCTATTCACTATCTCTTTTTACAATTTGATGACTGCAGGCGGGTATTTTCTCCACACACTAGCAATAGCATGACGAACGATGAGTAGTTGAGTAAGGTCAAAACTGTTTCTTCTTTGTACATACATAGTAATACAAATGACATGTTGGCCGAGTTTCTAGAAGCACCGAATCAGCACCATGCCGGAAAGTGGCGCGACGAAAGACCAGCTCGTATCAGGCCAGAAAGGCAACGAGTGCAGTGATTGGATGACTGAAGTCGCTGACTGAAGTTATTCTCGCGTGTGATGGTGAAGGTGGGCACGCAGCGTCATAGGGCCAAGCCGGTGCCCCGCTACGCTTGCCGCTGCGGCTGCGCCTCTACCCAAGGCACCCTCGCTGTAGCTGCCAGCCGCAAATGGGCTGTGAAGGAAACCCAAGATTGGGCTTTGACTGTTTGAATCTGCATAGTTTCTTTGACGGCGGCGTCCTCGTCTACCGGTGCGTCCCCTTGCTGGCATCTTCCTCGCAACTGAACTCTCCCCCTGTCCACCTGACGGCTGTTTGCGATCGCCGAGCACCTGAAGCTTGGTGTCACATTCATATATCAGCCCTCGGCCTTGCCAACAACTTGCTCTCACCCCTCCAAACGCCCACGACCAATTCAATCACAACATGGCGTATAACAAAGGCTTCAACCCAGACAGGTTGCCCATGCATGCTGAGCCCGAACAGGTGCGTCTTTGTTCAACTTGCAATACTACTACAGGTGCAAAACTGACGTAGCTCAGGCTGCCGCTATGATGTCGCAAAATACTACCACAGCCTCACGCCCACCGCGCACAAGCTCTGCGCGCCCTGACTACAACAAGCCTCCACCACCTGTTCCCAACCAGCGATACGATACACGTCCAGACGACCGCTATGGCGGAGGAGGTGGTCGCGGTGCAGGAGGAGGTGGAGGAGGAGGATACGACAGCCGACCCCCGCCAGGCGCATACAACGATGCGCGCTATGACAATCGTTATGATTCGCGACAAGACAATAGAATGGGCCTTGGATCGCCTCCACCAGCAAACTATGGTCAAGGACCGCCACCACAGGGCTATCATGGAAGACCTCAGCTTGCGCAGCAGTCAAGACCCCCACCAACGCCCGCGCCCGCCCCACCAAGAGATGGAAATGATCGCGAGGCCCTGTGGAGACTGTTTGGCGCTGTGGACAAAGACAGTATGCCATGTTTACATTTGGTCAAATTGACAAGTAACTAACCATTGCGGCAGGAAGTGGTGAGCTTACAGAAGCTGAGCTGCGAACTGCCCTTGTAAACGGTGACTGGACGCCTTTCGACCCCCATACTGTACGCATGATGATTCGAATGTTTGACACCAACAAATCCGGCACAGTCAATTTTGACGAGTTCTGGTATGCCATCCATTGCCTCCCACCTTCCATACTCATGACGAGATTCACATACTAATGATTTCTTTTTCACTCGTACAGTGGCCTCTGGGGTTTCCTCTCTGCCTGGCGCGCTCTTTTCGACCGCTTCGACCAGGACCATAGCGGCAGCATATCATATGCTGAATTTAACGAAGCCCTGATCGCCTTTGGATACCGTCTTTCCCAGCAATTCGTCACTCTGCTCTACCGCACATATGACCGCGATGGCCGCAATGCACTCAGTTTCGACTTGTTCGTCCAGGCATGTATTAGTCTGAAGAGAATGACGGATGTTTTTAAGAAGTATGATGAGGATCGCGACGGTTATATCACGTTGAGCTTGTAAGTGGAACTTGGTTTGGGAGATGCAACCCCCTCTCCGTTCATGATTTCGGTGAATAAGTTTTGCTAACAAGTACATTTTCTGTATCTGCAGCGAGGAGTTTCTCACAGGTGCGCAAGCTTTGTTCCTCTTCAACTCGATTTCGGCCTCCACTGATACCGGTCTTTACTAGAAATCATCCGCCAGCGATGAGCTAGCGCCACAGGACCAAGCACGCGACTCGACAATCGCGCACATTTGCTATATATGAGACAAAGTTGCTCATATCTATGACCTGAGCACTAGCTTTGCATAAGATCTAACATGGCGGTCTACATGTACCCCTGGTAATTTTGGCTTGGCAGAGAAATGGATATACTTAGGGCAGCTGTTGATTTACCTTGGAAGAGAGAAGAGCGAGGGAAGCAACATGTTAATGGGTATATAGTAAACGCATGTAGTAGTACGCTGGGTGATATCTGGGTAGGGATATGTGGTTGTGGTGTTGATTGGGTGGACGAAACTCCCTCGTCAACTTGATAGCAGACAGCAAACCACATTGCTAAAGGTAAATGAATGTAGATACCCGTTTAGTTTTTTTCTTTTCGTATTTTTGTCATGTTTTCGAATTGAATGAGTTGAATTTCGAATACAAACCCTCACATTTAATAGGCTTTTCATTATACGCAATCTCTTCTTGCCCCTTCATATCTCGCCCTACTAACCTAATACTGAATTCCCGCACCTCCACCACTTTCAGTCATACATTTCCCTCCCTTGCCGCCCCTCCTCCCCCCCAGACCCCAAGACCCCAACATCATGATAATAACAATATGTTCCCTCACACTATTACTGCAGCCTAATACCACTTATCGCCATGTCCGATTTGTACATGAGAATATCAAGATCGTAGTCATCATCTTCGTATACTGATGTGGGTATAGTTAGAAACACTGCTTTTCTTTTTGTTTGAATTTTTTTTTGGGGGGGGGAGTTGTGAGGATGCGAGGACGATATGGAATGGGAATGTTTTACATGGTTTTTTTGCCCAGGCATGGTTTGTGATTGGATTGGTGGCTGGATTGTAAATCGACTTTGCGAAACTGGTTAGTTGACATTTTGCACACAAATGGTCTTTTTTTTTGGGTGAAGCGATGGATATGTAACGTGCACACGTATTCAGACACTAACGGCGTGGTCTCTATGGATGGTACAATTGTGAATGGAGTGTGTTATCGTAAACATGAGATTATGGGGAATATTGATTTCACTCCGATGGAACATTAGAGTGGAAAGAAAGTTCGCAGGAGGGATCAATATCTGAGGAGGAGGAGGAGGAGGAGGAAGAAGAAGAAGAAGCTGACGCTGAAACAGCGTCGACACTAAGCTCACATATATGGCGTTGATGCACTGTCGTTTTGCGAAAGACAACGCCGATTCGATACATGTGCCCTTCCTGACTCTGAATCGTGACATCTTCATTGTCGCTTCGTGTGGCGTTACGCTGGAGACGGAGGGAAAAGCCATGCCTGTCATCATCTGAAAACGTCGCGCCTCTCACTACGATAACGCAGCTAGTTGCAATACACAAGAAAATGGTAAAGGTAGAGGAATGAGAATTCAATGGCGCTTCAAAGCACAACTCAGTCAGTTGAATGGACGAGAGAGAGTTTTCGACCCTAAGGATCATTGTGTCCGGATCCCATATAGACTTGCATTCGTGCACCCGTCTACCTCTAAACGATGCGGTCCGATGTGTTTGATTTACGATTTGATATCCCATGTCCCACAGAGTCTCTGATGCTTCGACGACGATGTCTACATGGCGCCACCAGCGTGAGTGTGAGGCGTAACCCTCACTGGGTTCTTGTATGGTGATTGTTTGATCAGCCGCCTTTACAGCATGTCTTGCACTCAAAAGCACTGTAGTGTAGTCAACCGGTTTGCCAAAAGACCAGCGGGCTCGGACACTATCACGGCTAATTACCGTCGTATGCTCAATGTTGTTTGCTTTTGCGTGGATGAAAATGCCCAGGAATTGCCTTTCTTCACCTACTGAGCAGCCAAGCAGTCCAACCCAGTACGAATATTCAACATAATCATACTGGGATACATACAGACTTGGTAATTGTATAGTTAACCCGAGGGTTGTTAGAGTAGGCGGAGTGATTGGGTTTATAGCGTATTCCAAATCGCCGCAATCGGTGAAGTCCTTGGGCGATTTTGCCAGTATATTCAGACTAGCATTCTTGTATATTATCGTGTCCTTGAAATATTTGAACAGAGGTTCTGTTTGACGCTTGATGTCAAGCCGCGGCCCCCAAGCAAGTATTGAATCGTCATTCACTCTTCGAATAATCTCTTCTTGCAGGCGACGAAAGGCCCGGTCACCTTCCCCGTACAGCAGCGGCAGGTTGATGTTGAAAATTCCCAATAGACAGTAAGCCATGTCTTCAGTACGGGTCGTCTCTCTTGTTGAGGCCCACGACATTCTCTTTGCAACGCAGTGATCACCAAACATACCGCCATTAGCATGACATCTGGCCCTTGTCCCCATCAAAGCGGTCACATCTATTCCCGTTATTTCGGATATCAATTTCGAATGGCCAGACTTTCGGCCTAACCAGTGCCACTGGCAGTTGTAGAATTCAACGTCTCTCGGTGCCAAGAGTTCTTGTAGTGTCCAGCCTCTGGTAAACCATCTACTTTTGTGAAAATGTTCACCCATCTCTTCTTCCAGGACATCTGAGAGATATGCATAGCAATAGCTTGCGTCTCTGTACCAAGCAAACATGGAGTTGATAGCCTCGGAAAGCTCTGAACTGGATCTCTTATCAATGCAGCAGGTATCAACCCATGCATAGTTGAGCTTATCACGGATTGCTTGTTGGCAGGTAAACTCAATCTTTCTGTATCCTGCTCGGGCTTGCGTCGCTGGTGTAGAGAGAGGGAGTTCAAGAAATGTCACCTCGTCATTGCCCCAGGTGTGTGATAGGATGGCGTAAGGCGGAATATTGCTGCCGAAGAACTCTTCGAGCTCAAGGGTTAAACAGTTTATGAGACGCATTGTGGGAAATCTGTTGTTGTGATTGTTGAAGTTCTGAGTGTAATGCAAGGGAACAGCAGCGGGATGTTCGTAAAGAAGGCTGGAAGGCTGAAGGCTTGCTCGGCTAGCTCTAGCTTAGTAATGAACATCTCTACACTGTGAACACTAGTAGTTCAGGATTGCGTTGATTGATATCGATGAGATTTTCTTCTCTTTGCCATCCTTGTTTCCCCACGTCCCTATATGCTCATCTCGCGTTCTGCATCACTCATGACATGGAAATAGGGTTCAACATATCAAATTCTACATAAATCTCCACCAGATCGTCTATGATGCAATCTGGTATCCGGGGGGTGGGTATATAACAAACAGAACAAACAAACAAAGGAAAAACGTTACACCTCAACCAGTCAATCGTAATACATGTTCGCATATCTCGGTATCCGTACACACGTTCAATTTGATTCTTCAAATCCAGGCATTCGTTTCATCCAGCGCGCTCTCTACGCGTTGTGGTATTTTCTTTTGTTTGGTGGATACTCTTAGATGACCGACTTCCTGGGGGTGTGCGAACGGCGCTCTCTCCAGCTAAAGCAGAGAGCTACGAACCAAGTAAGGACAGCAAGGAGCATGAGGCCAGTTGCAGCCCATGTCAAGGCGAGAAACTTGCCACCATAGTGCGATTCAAGGCCGATTTGGTTTCCGTGTTCGTTGACGACGTCGTTACCTTTGATCATGACAGCAGTGACGAGGGCGCTGGCGACGGAAATGGCTAAAAATGCCGAGAGACCAAGGCCGATGTTTAGAGCTGCACTCAGTCTTCCTGAAGTGAAGATGCCAACAAGGCTGGCGACGAGGGTCAAGAAGATGAGGCAGATTGCGATGACGTAGAGAACGAACATGGCTGCCATTACAGCATTCAACGCATCGATGCCCTTCTGGATGTCTTCTGGCCATTGGATGTCTCGTAGGGTGATGTCTATACCCGATCTGTTTAGGGCTTGTTGGATGATGTCGGTTGGATTGAACTTGTACATGGCCTTGTTTTTGGAGCATTCGGTAACGTTTTTGCTAATGTCGTCTTGCTTCAGGGTCGCATTAGCCACCTCGTCGGGTGTGTACTGTCCCTGGCAATAGTTCAGCATGTGTGCTGAGTACCAGTCCTCGATGCCAGCGCGCTCGCGGAACTCGTCTATCTTCTCATTGATTTCATCGGTGATTGTATTGGTGATGGAGTCTGGGATGAGATCGATGATATTAGACAGGGTGGAGTCGTCGGAGTTTGAGACTCTGCTGACGAGATTTTGTCCAATGGCCGAGGTGTTGAGTGTGAGGAGCGAGTAGTCTTCCATGAAACCCTTCTTATGGCCTGCAAAGAGACAGAGGAACGAGAGAATCAGGGCTGCAGTACAGCATAAGACGGGTACAAGGGCGATGAAGCGCATTGTTGCGATTTGTTTGTTGGTGTATTGCAGTGGCAATGAGTGCTAGTGAGCGACAGTGTTGAAAGAGTACGTGAACAAGGGTGGCGTGAGGACGCGCGGGCAAGAGCGACTGAAGGACTTTGTTGTTCACAAACAGCGGCGAAAGGCACAAAGTACTGCACTTATAGGCGGGCATGCCCACCCAAAGCCTGGAATGCGACGGTAATGAGTCTGGGACCCGCACGTCACTGGCGCAGGGTCTCATCGTGGAAGCAGCCGAGCAGGCAGCCAGTCAAATAACGGCTCAGCCATAAGATCAACGTCTTGGGCGACGGATCTGACTGTTTTTAGCACACCGACACGACGTTGACGTGGTTCTGGGCGGCTGTTGTTGCGGGCCCTGGGCCGATGACGTAGACAGTACCGCTAAGCGAAGCTGTCAAGCAGGGGCGAGAAGCAGGAATGACTGACAGGACAAGATGCAAATTGACCGGTTGGGCAACAATAGGAGCGAGAGAGAGAAAAAAAAGACAACCTTCACCGCCGTATCACGCCGGCGTGGGTAGGTCTTGTACCGGCAACAAATGCGCCACGTTGAGGTGGGCTGCACAGCCACTCTGGTGCGTAGTGTAGGTACGTAGGCCCATGTGTACCTGTGAGTTGGCCAGTCTGCAGCGCTACAAGCATTACCCAGATGGAACGTGAAGCACGTGTGTGTGTGTGTGTGCGCAGCACCGGGGGGGGAATGTTTTTGTAGACTAGTATTTCGTCTATGGGTTTTGCTATTTGAGTCTATTGCTCCTTGGCCCTAAGTTTGTGCTAATTTGTGGGGCATCGTCTATGATGCCAAACATGCAGGTTGTTGTTTTCACGAGTGGAGCAACCGGTACTTCCCAAGTTGATGTTTTTTGCAGGGTGTAATGATACCAAATGTGGATGATAGGGTCAAGGGACTGTGTACCGCGTATGGCGACTGAGGGTCCACCGGCTCGGCAGTAGCCGAGTCTTACGAGGGAGACTTTTTTGAGTTTTTTGGTGGTTGTGGCGGTGTTGCTGACGATGATGAAGATGCGCGAGCGCTGATGCCGTCTGTGAATGGCGAGTATGGCGCGGCTATTGAATGTGGCGGTGCGCGGTGTCCGGCCTTTGTGCGTGGGGGCTCTGCCGAACCCGGCCACCTCTTTTGCTCTTCATGCATCTTGTCAAGTGGTTCGCCGACGATGTGGTACTTGTCCCAGTTGATGGGGGGACATCGCACAACGTTTTGCGGCTGTGGAATGGGAGGGAACCTTGGGGCACTGGACTCTGTGTCCATGCGTGTCGAGTCCCTGGGAGCGTCCGGATTGCTGGCGCCTTGGTCATGGCCCAGGCCAGATAGGGTGGGCGTAAGAATGTCCTGATACGAGTGCGACTGCTGGGCTCGCTGTTGGTGGAGCGAGCGGGCAAAGGCCTGTGGGTCGGCTATGGCGGCGGCCTTGAGGTCCTCGAGGGCCTTGAGGTCGCGCTTACTCTTCTCGCGCTGCAGCTGCAGGAGCGATATGGCGGAGCGCAGGGCAATGGCATCGGGATTGTCGGTCTCATCGATGGCGACCGAGGGCGGCTGTGGTGTGAAGGTGGCCGTGGGCGGAGGGGCAGGGCGGGGTCGAGGTTCGCTGCGCTCCACCGGAGCTAGCTGGGCAACCGCTTGTGTGGGCGTCAGAGGCGACACGGGGGGGCGGTCTGGGGTGGGAGACTTTGAGCGGTTGGCCGAGTGGTGGGAGCGCGTCGAGGCATCGCTGGACGAGGCCGGGCGGGTGCTTGTGTCGACCAGGAGCGCTGGCATGGCGGCGTGGAGGGAGAAGGACTCAGACTCGTGGCACTGGGGCCGGAGCGTGCTGAAGGTCAGAGCGCGTGTGGTGTCTGGGCTGGGCCTAGGGGTGTTTGTGCTAAATCTCCGAGAGATGCTTCCACTTCCACTTCCACTTCCACTTCCACTTTCACTTTCGTCGCGTGTGGGCGGCGGCGGCGGCGGCGGCGATTAGATGCAGACGCAGTGTCGACTCGTGGCCCGGCCGGCCATGGCACTTGTGATTTGCTGTGCGGACTTGTAGTGTGCCAGACTGCCCATCACACATACGCACACGTCTTCGCCGTTTGCTGCCTTGTCCACGGAGCGCTCTGAGGAAGAAGCCGTCGGGGCCAGTCGGCGGGGCAGAATTTCCTGTGGCCAAGGGTTGGTCGGGTGTACGGGTGTTACGGGTGTGGGTGTGGGTGGGTGCACCCAAGCACGAGGCGATCTCGTCTATCGCCCTCTCTGCAGCACGCCATGTTGCTCTCTGTGTCCTGTCGAGCAGTTAGTAGTCTACTCGGTGCGTCCATGTGGACCCAGGGCACAAGCTCTCTGCATCTACTCCTACCAGCTATGCATGTGTGGTTGTATGTGACCATGTCTCTGTTTGGACATGGTATGCATCGACGCAGCCAAAAGTGACGTGCACCCGCGGTGCTGTAAGTATACGAGACGAGATGAAATCAGTCCATCAGTACTTAGGCATGGGCCGTGCATGCACCGTTGCAAGCCCCGAACGCAGGTTGCTTCGGGTGTTCCCAGCATCTGCAGACGCCTCTGTCATGTCCATGGCCTTCACCGTGCCGTCTGGCGTCAGGCCGAATGAATTGCGGGTTTGCCTGTCGCTCAGCCGACATCAGCGGCCCGGGGTGATGGCAGGGCGTAGCGAGAGACAGCAGAAGGCTGGACCTAACTGAGAGAAGCTTTTGCAGCTGGCGCCCACTAAGAGCCACTGGGGTAAGGTTTGCAGACGGTGAGCGAAAAAGCCACAGGAAAAATTACCTGGCAGGCCGACCAATGGCCGGGGCTGGAGGTTGGGCGCGACTAGTAAGGAGATGGAGAGTAAGTATGTATACTTTTTACTAAGTATAGTAAGCATGTATGCGTGTACACTACTGACATCCATTCACACGTAGGTAGTATGCAGCCTGTATACATGGCCGAAGGGAAAAAAAAAGGTCGTCGTTGCCCCTGGCCCCTATGGCCAGCCAGCCAGCCAGCCAGCCAGCCAGCCAGCCAGCCAGCCAGCCAGCCAGCCGTGCCTGCCTGCTCTCCCACGAGCGCCTGCCTCATTCTCCCCAGCAGCAGCAGCAGCAGCGGGGTCCCACAACTTCCTCAATGTCTCCACTCGGCTTCATAACTTGCACAATGCCATTACCCACACCCTCTCCTATCCTCAACCCCCGACTCGCGACTATCCGCTGTCTACACACTCGACTACCGGCGCCTGCGTGACGTGCGCCCCGCCCATGAAACAGCCTATCCAATTAAACCCCGCCCGCCCTGGCTCCACTCGCCGCTAAGCCCTGCATGGACGCCGTACCGAAATCACAGTCGTTAGCCATGCCCCCGGCGCGCATACCCAGGCTGAGGTACAGAAACCCGTTGCCGTCCGCCAGCCTTCCAAAGTCTTTCCATGGCTCTGGGCCCCACCCTGCCTATTCTACTCAAGAGCCGCCCGTCGCCCCGGATCCAAACTCCAACCTCCCATCCACCCTCGCTCCCTCTCCCTCCCAGCCCGCCCTCGTGACGTCATCCAGTCTGGCTTCCCTACACTCGAGCACTTCTTCTTCTGGAAATGACTCCAAGTCATCCAAGAAGAAGAAGAAGACCAGCTCCGTCCTCGGCTTCCTCTCGTTAAAAGAGCCTTCACAGGCCGCCCTGGACCAGATTGTCCAACAACAGCGCAAGCAGAACAGTGGCTCATCGACTCCCCCCTCTGCCACCTATCACGCCAGCCAGAAGCTTCCTCCTCATGTCCCCAAGGTCAACTCCAAATGGGACGGCGTTCCCGAGTCCGTCAAGCAGAGACATTCGCCAACATCCAACCCGTCAACAAAGGACAACAGAAGCAGCGTCTCATCCAAGAGCTCCTTTGGCTCCCATCTCAAAACCAGGCAATGGAACCATTCAGACCTCTCCATCATGACCGATGGCACACGTAACCCGCCAAACTCCATTGCCTCGGTCTCCGTCTCCAACCTGCCTCGTCATGAGACAGCCACGGGTCTTGGCTCTTCGCCTTCCACTGCTACATTTCCCAACGCCAGTCCCTACCTCGCAGATGGTCCACTCACGCCGACTTCATTACACTCACCATCTTTCAGCACGCAAATGGCCGATCGATCCAATTTTCAGTCAACGACAAACAGGCCTTTGGATTCACCTTCTGGTAGCCGTCCGAGCATGGATGGATCCATTCACTCGCGACCACACTCTCCTGCCTCTTCCACCACATCAGCAGATACCATCACAATGGATACGGCAGATACCATCTTCAGAAAAATGAACGATCGCCCAAGTCAAGGTACCCTGGGTAGAGAAGCGCCTGTCGCCGAACTACAGGATCGATCCAAACCAGACATCGTGCCAGAATCCCATGATTTTCTCTTCCAACCACAGCCCCAGCCGTCACCCGCCATCAACACGCGAAGCATCGATCTTTCTGTGGCATACAGTCGTTCCTCGGACGAATTCATCCCTCCGTATTCCCCAGTGCGGCCTGTCCAGAATTTCAGTCGACCCACTGCCCCCGCTGCTCCCACTGCCCCCACAGGCCCGCCACCAGTTCAACGCAATACCTTCATGGCACCTTACAGAAGACCACCCCAGGCGCCTGCACTACCCACTTTGTACGAATCTTCATTAGCCAGCACCGATGAATCTGAAGATGACGATGACAATGGCGATGCTCGTTCGATTGCCCCCTCGACCATTGCTCCTTCCGAACTCTCTCTCCACTGGTACGAGTCTCCTCGTGAGCGTCTCGGACTAGGTAGACGTCTTCAAATCAACGACGTCTTGCCCTGGGATGAGCAGAGAGGTGGAAAGGGTAAGCCTAAGAAAAGTCGGCTGTTGGTGTTTGGAAGAAGCTCCTCCAAATGATATGCTTTGCAGGCAAAGCATGCCCTCTAACGCATGACCCACGGGAAACATTCCCCTGTATCCGGCCCTCGCCCAATTCTTTTACTCAGCGACTCGTTTCTTAGTACTTCTCTTCCCCCCCAAGTTTTTTTCTGCACTTCGCAGCACGGCCCACGCTTGTTCACTCCATCTACTTTTACGTACAGTGACTACAAAGAGGTCATTTGCTTTCCCATCACGATACCCATCTCATGAACACCTTCCGTTCTACTTTTATGGCTTTTACTAGAATGTACTACTTTACTTAGCTATCCCCTACGAATTCATTCCAGCGTTTCTATTTCGTGTAGCTATAGAGTAACTTGACCAACTAATTCTAATTACTAAACAACGCATTGTATCTCTTCTTTTATAATTACGTGATGGAATGCGATCCTATTGATATGCTAAATTCAAAAAAAAAATTGGTAAGAAAGCAGGCCTTGACACTTGAGTCGACAGAGGTCGATCCAACAAGACAACAATTTTGTCAAAAATATATCACAAATAACCTACATCGTCGAGTCATATCACGTTCTTCCTCAATCCCCTAAACTTCCCATTCCTCCGTACTCGCTTCTCCTCCTACATCTCCATCCCTTCCCCCCCTTCCACTGATGCACCCGACAAAAGAGGGTTTGTATTAGAAAATAATCGGAGAAATAATATGCGTGTATATAGGATTTAATGTACAAAAAAAGTCGAGTATGAAGTTGATGTGCTGGTAGAAGGTACTTTTTTTTCGCTTGATTGTTTTTTTATCAAGATGAATGGGTAAGGGTAAACGTGGGCTGATTTTAATATGATGTGTTCGACTTGGCGGGTAGTAGTGTCGGGTTGTTATCATGGGTAAACACTTGGTGGGTTGCGTGTATGTCTTGCTTGCTATCAAGAGTATTTTGGGGGTGTGGGGTATTCTGGACCATGGAAGGGGGCGATCTTTTGATGATTGTGGTTGAGGAGGTTGGAAGAGATGATGAGATAGGGGGGGGGGACGCCATGGAGTGTTTATGTAGTGCTTTGGATATGCCTTTCCCTTACCCCCCCCCCTACTCCCTCCTTTTCTGTTGATTTGCATTCGAATTTAACTGGCAAACCACTCTTTTTTTGGTTCCAATTCAAAGGCCCCGAGTTGAAAAGAAAATACCTTTGGGAGCTAATAGTAGTACTAACGGAGACCGTACGATGGTGATTTATTGCTGCTGTGCTTGTTTAGAGTCTTTCCGCCGATCTGGGACTGGCGGAAGATTTTGACTAGAGGGTCTATTGTACCTAGGTCTCTTTGTGTAATCCTTTATCCTTCGATTTCTTTTTTTTAAACCAAGGATATATGAAAAATAAAAATAAAACAAGAATGTTGGGTGTTTACTACGGTTAGAAAAAAATCAATAGGATAGCGGTAAAGAGAGAGAGATGGTTTAGTTGCTTTTCTAATGCGGTATCCTCCACCCACAATATGATACCCTGCCATATCCTGGCTAAGTGCTCTTCGCACATATGTTGGCCTTCAGCCTCATTGCTTCACCATGATATAGTTACTAGTGTAGGCATTTAGCTTGGGAATAAGACCTTTGAAGTTGAAGAGATGTCATAGCTAGAAAGTAAGCATGGCTACATGCAGAGCCTTGCTAACTGGTCAGGATAGAGTGGCGTTTATGGTTAGTACGACCGTAGCGTGAATCTCAATCGTATCTACGTAGATAGTCTTTTCAGGGAGCGTACCCTATCGAGCTATCCAAGAAGTACTCAAATGAATGTGGTGTTGTTTGTTGCATGAGCGTCTGTCGATCATTGTCCTCCCATCATACTCTCTTTGAATCACTATCCAAGTACTTCTCGGACTAATCTCTAAATCACTGCTGCTAATCTCTCGTATCGTTGCCGTATTGATACAGATATCAGTGCTTACTAGAATACCCGTCGTATGACATCCGGTCCTTCTACTATAGTATTGGCCTAAACTATTGGATATTTCGTGTGCTTCTTGTAGCCGAATACAGCATCCATCAAGTTGTAGCTTCTACATCCGTTTCTGCAAATAAATATCTTAGTCCTTGCGTGATTTGTATATCCAACAAATCTTTCCTAACTTCTTCTTTATTAGCATGTCATTAGGTGCACTACCCGCACCACCTGCGCCATCAGACGCTGGTCTTATTTCTATGCCAGCAGTTCTTGGGGTGTCTAAAACTGACAAAAACAATCTCTATAACGCTACCAACTTTGACAGGTTTGATGCAGAGCCTTGGATGCATCCAGAGGCATCTACAGTTGGGGACTAAGCCAGTTGGCCCGAGGATATCAAGAAGGATTTCATTCACAATACCCGAATTAGGCTACAAGATGTTTTTGGAGGAAAAGCTAGTAGGGTGATTTCTAAGCGGTAGCTTGGAACCGACAGCTCCGTGCGAATGTTGGAAATGCCCCGGTGAACCGCGATGCTACCAATCGTCGCCAACTGCTCCAGATGCAAGAACCAGCCTCAGATGAATGAACTGCCTACACTCAGATCTGCTCGAAGAAATGGATAGGGGCTTCTTTGATATGTGAAGGGACAGCGTTGAGAGTAGCGTTGGGTACCGGAAGGGGAACTACCGTAGCAGCTGGAGTTGTGATGGCTGGATGGACGCCTAGCATTTTCGACCGGCACCTAGCGGGAGTGTATCAAAAACTGCAAGAGGTGAAGCTTTATGAAAGAAGCAAACTATCGCTAAAGCATTCCATGTTTGCTTCGTGGTATGTGCTGGAAAGTGAGAAATAGTTCAAATGGGATATAAATCAAACAGTAATAGTCACCTACCAACAATTGCCTATACCCTGTCGGCCAAATCCAATAGAAATAACTTGACTGTGTTGAATTCTATGACGATAAAAGTATACATGCTTTTCCCAAGTGTTCATTTAAGCAGCAACACTGACCTTGAAGCCTTCAACCTCTGGACTAGCTGCAAGGCTTTCTAATTTCTCCTGGTAAGCGACTGGGCCTGCGGCAAGTCCCGCCGTCCTCGCCTGTCTCACCAACTCTTCCATGCTTTGTGATTTCTTAGCTTTGAGACCTTGAAATCCCCCAGTAAAGTAGGTGGGCGTGCAGGCAGCCAACGCACTGTACAAAGGCGCCCTCCTTGCGAGCTCGTCACCCCATTTGCTTTCAGCTTCTGGACTGGCTTCAATGATCACCTTTTTCCCGTCTTCCACCTGCATGTGTGCCTTCTTGAGTGTGGACGCTAGATATCTCGCCATCATATCGTATATGGATGTCATGTTCCACGAAGCCCCAGCCCCGCGGGCAAAGTAAGAGAAGAGATTTGGAAAGCCTGAAAGGGCAATGCCAAAAAGTGGCGCGTTATTCATAGTCTCCGCTTTCTGGGACATTGTTTGCCCATTGCTTCCCTGAATAACTGCATCAATCTTTTGAGAAACATCGCCGTTGGTAATTTGAGTAAATCCAGTTGCGAGGACTAGAGCATCAATTTTGTACTCCTGACCGTTATACACTAGGCCATTCTCGGTGAATGCCTGCAAGCCCTTTCCGTCGGTGTCGACCAAGGTGACGTTGGGTTGGTTGAATGTTGGCAGGTAATCGTCGTGAAAAGTGGGGCGCTTGCACCAGCTGCCGTACCATGGCTTTAGCTTCTCGGCTGTGTCTTTATCCTTGACCACGTCGTCGATACGCTTGCGTAAGGCTTCAGTACGCAGCCGGTCAATCTGATGGAGTTCTCGTATGTATGCTTCCGTCTCGTGTGGCTCGACTATCTTCCTGGTTGTGCCCAAAAGACCTTCGCCAGCTGGAGTATGGGTCCATCCATCGTTCACAAGATTTGGCCCGTAACCTTGAGGGCTGTTGCTGACCCATGCATTGTAATTGAGTTGCCGAGCTCTCTGCCATCCTTTCTCCTTCGAAAAGTCTTTGAAATGCTCCTCATCAGTCAAGCGGTTACCGCGATACCCACAGTATGACGGTGTCCTCTGTACAACGTACAAGTGTTTGGCCCACTTGGCTAATTCGGGTATGATCTGCACCGAAGTTGCCCCTGTACCAATGATTGCAACTGTCTTGTCTTTGAGGTTGACCAAGTCTGGCTGTTCCTGGGTACCGCCCGTATAAGTATAGTCCCAACGAGCTGAGTGAAATACACGTTTCTTGGCTCTGAATTCTTCCCAACCTGGGAGCTTCGGGATCTTTGGAATGTTCAGAACGCCACCGCCGACAATGACAAAATCCGCAAAAACAGTCAATCGCTCAGTCTTCGCATTTGCATCCATGGTACGTGTCAACTGTACGACCCAAACCTTCTTGTCGTCGTCCCAAATTTGCGAATCGATCCTGGTACAAAACTGGCCCTGGATGCCAAAGTGCTTAGCAGCTCGCTCATTCTGACCGCGAATTTCGGCGCCGTAAGAATATTTGTGTTTGGGCACATATCCTGTCTCCTCTAGAAGCGGCAGATAGATGTAACCTTCGACATCGCACATGAGCCCAGGATACCGATTCCAGTACCTGTTGTGCTGGTTAACTGCTGTCTCAATTTCAATGGAAACGGGGTAAACTGTATCAGGTGCCGCCAAATCCACCTGCTATATCAACGCATACAATGTCTTTTACGCTGAACCTAGCCTCGACCAAACGACAAGCGTAGAGGAGACCACAGTGCCCAGCTCCGTTGACTAGAAACTTTACACTGTCTCCATCCTTGAGGGGAGGATTCTGAATCTTTGGGTCGTTCCAATCAACCCATGGGTCCTTAGCAAGATCTTGAATTTCTTTTGATCGCGTGTCTATGTAGTCGATGATAGCTGTATCCGCAATGCGTTTTTCACGCTCTTGCTGGTATTTCTGGAGCAGGTCCTGCTCGTCGGGCTGAACATGAGACATTGTCAATCGTTAAGGCAGTGCAAAGTGGCTAAGGAAAGGATAGAATGAATTATGTTCTCAGATTTGAACACATGTAGTTTGAGAAATGTGGTTTGCATTGACTTAATTTGTAATTATTTTAGACTTCAGTCTGTAGCCATGTGATCGATATCGTTGCGCTATCTTCCTTCTTTCCATGAGCGATTTCGTCGTCCTCGGTTCCCGTATGCTAGAACTCAATGCGGAGTGTGGGCCAACGAGTATGAAAATCGGCACATAAACCGATTCAAGGGGTAGTTAGGTCCCTTGTCTAGTATACCGTGGGCAAGCCGACCAGCATCCGGGGCCCACATATCCTAATGTGGAGCTGGTATCTAGGACCTTCGAAACGCGTACAGCATCTCGAAGGAAGGTGGCCCTTGAACTAATAAGAAATGGTATGATGTGCATTTCGAATAATGTATTATAATAATGTAAAAGAGGTTCCCCGCAATGCGCACGCACAGAGCACTAGAAGAAAGAGCATCTGGAAATTACCGTCAATATCCGCACGGAACACGGGTCCAGGCAATTTCCGACGATGACAACAACAATCATTCCTTGCGGCATGTTTTCATTCGGAGTAGTGAACCTAAAAAAAACCCTGCTGTTAATCTATTGTCGCTTCTGGTCATGGGGCTCCCTTGGTTAGTTGATCATATACTTGGTAGATAGCGGAAGTGAGGGCAGTGATGCGGTGGCAAAACTCGAGATTTTGTAATATATCATCAGATCAAAAGCTCCAATATATCATAAGCTCACTGATACTAACACACAGCGAGATGACGCGTAACCTAAAACTTTAGTTATTAAAATGTAACATTACCTTGATACGGTGGTTTTGACCCATCTGAAATCTTACCGAGCAAAACTCCCTATTTTCTCCACTGCCCATACTTCCGCCATCTACCGAGTAGTGATACCGCTAAAGGTGGTGCGTGACTATTCACATTGACTAGATAAAAATGGTTAGCTTTACTTGAGCATTCCCTATGACTAGAAAATATTTATTGAAATAATATGCTCGTTCATCTGCAATATTTCCAATTTATCTCCATCGTCTAGTCAGCGTACGTGTTTCACTTCGTCACTCAACCGAATAAAGCGGCAAAAAAAGAAGAATCGAGAATATGAGGGCTGCAAGATACTACGGTGTCAAAGATGTGCGCATTGAGGAGATCAGTATTCCAAAGCGCCCAGCAGATCATGTACTCGTACGGGTTGCATGGTGCGGTATTTGTGGGACCGATCTAACGAATTATCACAACTGTAAGATAACTTCTTCCACTTCATTGTACGGATTTAACAGATTAGATCCAATGGGCACACCGGCTCCAGGGACACATGATCATGTAACTGGGGATACTCTTCCTGTGACCTTGGGTCATGAGTTCTGCGGTCGTATAGTTGAGGTACCTGAAAACTGCCCCTTGGGAGTTGGACAAACTGTCATGGTTGATCCTCGCCTCTATTGCTCAGAATGTTCCATGTGTAAACAAGAAGATACGAATCTTTGCTCCAAGTTAGGATTCGTCGGCTTAAGCGGAGGCGGTGGGGGTGGTTTCTCAGAATTTGTCGCTGTCGACCCCAAGCGATGCTACCCCATTGCCGACTCGAGCCTCGACACAGCATGTCTGATCGAGCCTCTAGCAGTTGCAAGACACGCCCTGAAGGTGATTGGATTTTCTGATTTTCGAGATAAGTCTTCACTTATACTTGGCGCTGGACCAATAGGACTCGCAGTCATTCACAATCTTAAAGCAGTCGGAACGGGTGCGATCTTTGTATCGGAACCCTCTTCGTTAAGACGAGAGTATGCAAAAGATCTTGTCGACGCTGGAATTAACCCTCAAGAGGTGAATCTTGTGGATACTATTGAGCAGCTCACTAATGGTAATGGGGTTGATATTGTGTTTGACTGTGCAGGTTTCATCCCTGCTATGGCACCGGCAATGTCATCTTTGCGCAAGAAAGGGAAATACGTCCTTGTGGCAGCTCCAGGAAAGCCGGTACGCTTGAATATCCCGAAATCTATCTCCCCCACTAATCAAATGCAATACCAGATTACGTTACCACTATTGGAGTGGTATGCTCGAGAAATATCAGTCGTCGCCTCGGTTGCTTATAACGATGTTGATTTTCGTGAGGTTGTCGATGATTTCAATCAAGGTGCACAACTTCATTATCTGGTGTGACAAGAACAGTGGCTCACAAAACTTAGGAAAGTTTAAGGGTGTTGAGAGGATGGTCAGCAGTCGTATCCAATTGGATCAGTTCGTTAGTCAAGGGCTGGAAGTGCTGGTCACAGCGAAAGACGGGTTGCTGAAAGTTCTTGTAGAACCTAAATAAGTTGCTTTGAGGATGATTGCCCATGATCGTGTATAAAATTAATCAATGGAATGAAGATATACTTGAGAATTTAAAAAAGCCCGAACAAAAAAACCATGTGTTGTCTTAAGAGGATGCGCAAGTGTTGATAAAAAAGATGATGATTCATCTTTCTAGACTGTCAAAGTTGATTCGTGTCTTACGTATAGAATCAGCTAAAGATTTTCAAATCGAGTGCTAATAGACACGCTATTGACATAAGAATCGCGGTTTAGTTTTCGAATAGCCCTAAACCTATTCTCCATCGCCATTTTGCTCGTGGGATAGCTAGGCACAAGCGCATCAAAGCCGTGTAGTAAACCTGGGTAGACATGCAGTTCCGTTTCAATACCAGCATTTACAAACCTTATAGCATACTCCAGATCCTTGAGCATAAACAGATCAAGCTGTTCAACATCTAGGTAAAGAGGAGGCAAACCCTTAACACTTTCCGCACGAGCGGGTGCTGCGAACATTAGCACTCTAGATCGCCCTAGTTCATGCCCTAGATATGCTGTCTAACCCGTAACGTTGTTAACTTCATCCTAAACACACACGGGTCTAATGCCCTTTAATGAATTTCGGTCATCTAATATAGGGTAGATCAAGATTTGCTTTACTAGAGGCGGAGCCAATCCTCGATCTCGCGCTAACAGAGCGACTGCGGCTGCTAGATTCCTACCAGCACTTTCACCCATAACGGAAATAGAGGAACTATCGAGGCGAAAGTCGGCTGCCTTTAACAAAACCTATTTTAAGCCGGACCAGCAATCTTTAACAGGTGTCGGATATAGGTGTTCTGGCGCAAGCCGGTAATTAACAAAGAACACCTGTACCCTAGTGGCAAGGACATATTAAGAGATTATGGGGATGGAATTAGCCGCATTCGATGTGATGAGGCCACCTCCATAGAAATGAACAATTGCTGGCGCGGGAGAAGCTTGATCCATAGTGTCCCCTCTCTTATAGTGGTATATCAAAAGTTGATGACCATCCGACGCTGAAATGGTATACTTTTCAACACCAACCCCTTTAGCCGTCGGTTTAATCGGTACCATGCCAGAAGAGAATTTTCTACGACCCTCGACGTCGTGTAATTCTGGCTTTTTAAGTCCCGCCATGGCGCTCATTACTGGAGCTGCGGCGGCAACAAAGTCGCCATCCATACTGAGTCCCATGCTTGATTTGGTGTATGTATTCGATTTGGAGGTGTCTGCCAATAGGGCTCGAAAACTTGAATAAAGATATTTAGTTTAAGATTCTATCTGACGAAGGCCCCTCTATTATTATTATTCCATTATAGTCCTGTATCAGCCGTTGGCTATGTAGGACTTTGGCCAAAGGCCGTTCTATCTGACTAGTTACAATTTGGTACGTTGTGCTGTATTGCGTGACTATGGTGCTTCGGCCTTTGTCTAGTTAAGCTAGTGCTAGCTTTCTA